TGTTGGTCATGAAGATCCCCATAGAAAGATCAGGAGAGGATCCTGATCCACAAAGCAAATGCACTCGTTAGTGACAATCTAAAAAAGTCATATAATATAAAAGTACTTCAATTAAAGTTCAAAAGACCAAAATACGGCTTAAACATGATTTTTCAATCTACGGGGCACACCGCCCGTAACAACACCAAAAGGAAATGGAAAAAGAACTGCAGCCCAAATGCAACCCAAGAAAGGAAGTCACGTAGGGAGGTGGGGGTGAATTATGTTTTTCAAGGTTGTCCAGAGGCCATCTCCAATATCCAAGATGGTCTTGAGATTACCCTCATTTTCTTTAAATTGATCTTGCTACAGGAGCAATTTCTCTCTGTATCTGTTATTCCATTCCATTTATTAATTCTGTTACTGCATATTAATCTGAACCATCCCTATCCAGCAGTTTGAGTTAGGGTTTATAGGTAATTTGATACATAGGAAATTGTACTATTTCTCTTCCTTTTGACAAATGTAGACCATAACTCTAAAACCCACATTTTGGAATTGAGAGTTCCCAATATTTTTCCTTTTTGCTATTAATTTCTTCTGTATAGGTTTCTGCTAGAACCCGAAAAGGTTTCCTTTCTGCCATACCACAGCAATGCATGTTCCTTTTTCATAATAATATGTTTCAAACCGAGGGTGTGATTTTGTTGTTGTTCTAGCGGTCCTTTGTTATGAATAAATTGTTATATATTGCGTAGGTAAACTCCTCAAAAAAGGTGAAAACATATCATGGCATTTGCCATCAGATTGGAATAGGAGCTTTTCTTTCTTCTATCTTCATGCATCATGTCTCTTCTTAATTTCTTGATTGATCCCATTGACATGATTGACATGGTCTTTCAAGGCGCTGATATAAAACCATTCATTATGCTATATATGTTGGTCAGATCAAATAAGGTTATCTTTAACCGAATGAGGACCAGATGACTCTCTTTGGCCCTATAGCCCTCCAAGAAATTAATATTTTAATGAACAATGCAGGGTCATATTTCTTACCATGTCCAACCGAAGGGCTAGAGGGCCATAGGCCAAACATAGCCCTGTGACAAAAACCATCTCTAATCGAAGGCCATAAGGCTATAAGGCCAAACATAATTTAAATTTAAAGACTACAACAACTTAAATTTAAAAACTACAACAACTTAAATTTAAAAACTACAACTAAATTTTAAAAACTACAACAACTTTAATTTAAAGTCCATAATCATCATCATCTTCATCATCCACCATTGTAGGAGTATAGTCGAAGGTAAACAATTGTCACCGGGCCATAATTTTCCTCTTTTTCCTATCAAAATAGGCCTTACTCATTGGAGTGTAATCCGAAATGTTCCTTTGCATATTCCTATCATCCATCTCTTCTTGTATTTGTTTGACTTGTTCTTCATGCCTACGGTTCCTTTCTTCCGCGGCAATGGCATTTTGCTCCGCCATTAATTGCAATGATGTTGCCACTTCCTGTTGAGCGGTGTAATCATCCTTTGCCTTACCCTTTTCCTTCAACCTTCGAGCCTTGTTTCGTCCCATAGCCCTAGGTGTGGAACCTTCACCCGAAGACAGATTTTCTACCCTTGTTTCTTGAATGGTAGGAGATCCATCTTCATCCCCATCTACAACTGAGGATGTAGTTCTGAACATCGGCGTAAGACCTACTCTATGTTGAGGTGGATCTTCAAGTAACATCCACCCCTTACAAATTTCCCAACAACCATAATGTTAAAAGGGTTTCGAATTGCCCTCCATATACAATTCCTCCGTTTGGCATACCTATAAAATATAATTACAAAAATTAAAGGAAATTAATTTATGAAATTAAATGTAATAGAATTAAATATAATTACAAAAATTAAAAGAAATTAATTTATGAAATTAAATGTAATATAATTAAATATTTTAAATAAATTGTGAAAACACTTACTTCGTCGTAGTAATTGGCGCCGCCTTCATGTCTACTTGCGGTTGCTAATAGTGATTGATGCCATTTTATTCAAACTTGGATGAAGATGTTTCTTCCATCTTGAAGAACAACTCTCGTGGTTTCGGGTATTCAGTGGAGTGGTGCCTTCGTAGAACTCATAGTATTTTTTGAACACACGAGTCCAAACACCTTCACTTGTTTGAGAACGTCCCCTCACACTATCTTTTGAGACCCATCTCTAAGCCCTGCAAAGTGCTTCATCTTCTTTTCGGGTCCAAGCCCTACCTTTCATTGAAGATGAGGCTATTTGAAAATTATTTAAAAAATTGAAGGAAATATTATTGGAAGAGGTAAGAAAATAGAATGTGAAGAATTGAAATAGAATGAATCGAGATAGTATGGAATGGTGAAAATTATGTGACAAATGATGTAGGAATGGCTTAGGTATTTATAGGAAAATAAAATGAGAATTTAAAAAAAAAATTTAAAAATTTAGGCTGAAAAAAAAAAAAAAAATCAAATCCAATCCAATGGTTGGCTGGCTAGGTTGGGCCAGTTGGTTGGCCATTCGACTCTTTTTTGTCTCGTGGGGCCCATTAGCTCTCAGTTGGAGACGGTTTCGGGCTATTTTTGGCCCTGTAGCCCTCTGGATCATTCGGTTGGAGATGGCCTAAGGCCATTGTGGATTTGTTAAGATTGGCTTTAGGTTTTTCCTCCAGTCATATGTTTGTTGAGACAAGTCTAAACACATGTATGCACACATATGCTCATTGTGGCTGCTGTAGCTTTTTATTTTCATCAGTTAATTAGGAGTATATTTTGCATTTGTGTTTTTTTGATTTGGTACATCTTCGAATATGTCCCTGACTCTTTTTGTCAACCGGATCTTTGTTTGAATAGAGAGGTGGTAGGAAAATAATCAATGATAGCATACAGTGGTATATGTTAATTTATGCCTCTTTTTGTCAACCGGACCTTTGTTTGAGTTATGGTTATCTACTTCTGCTTATTTCATAGATTCATTATTCATATATGTTAACTTTTGCCTATAATTTAAAATGTGGTATCCAGTGGTATATGTTAATTTCATAGGATAATTTTTGCCTATTTCATATATGTTAATTTCACCGACTTTTGAGGAGATTGAGTTTTGTGAAGAAGTTGAGAAAGGTAATCTTACTTATTAGATTTGGTTTTGTTAGATTATTTAAATTAGATGTTATGTTGCATACTTGCATTACATCATGTTCTTTCTTTCTTTATTTGTATGTAGAAATGACAAATGGAAGTTAAACAAAATGTACTATGTTGCCTCATAGGCCGCCTAAGCGTTGAGTTTGAGGACTTGTAGAGAATAAGTGCGTGTAAGACATGAAACCTTGAAGTACTTTGTTATGTTTATTTTAGGTGTGGATACTTGAAGTGTGATGTTTATTTTAAATTTGGACTTTTGAAGACTTAAACTTTGATTTTTTTTTTAGTTTGGACTTTGGAACATTTGATTGATGATTCTAGTTGAACTTTAAATGTTTATTTTCATTGTGTTGGAATGCTTATGTTATGATTGTGTTGGAGATGTTAAAATTTCAGATTTCAATGTTGGAAACTTGGATTGCTTATGTTATGATTATATTGGAGATGTTAACATTTCAAATTTCAAAAAAAAAAAAATTCGAAAAAAAAAAACGTAACCGAAGCGAAATTAAACCGAACTGAAAAAAAACGAAAAAAAATGAACCAAACCGAGCCGAACCAAAGTTTCGATTTTGGCAAAAAAACGAACCCAGCCCTATGTCTGACCTAGAAAATTTAGGTTTTAACCTAAGGGTTGGAGATGATCTTATCTGTTCTTCTTCTTTTTGCTTTTTTAAAATTTAAAATTTTTAAATTTTTTTAATATCCACGTAGACTCAGATTGACCGCGGCACCTAGTCATTGTCCACATGGGGGTTACGTCACAAGTTAATGATTATTTTAATAGAAAAGTTAAAAGATGTATAAAAGTATCCTATAATTATCACTTTAGAAACCTGACTGAGATTAAAAAACTTGATGTATGAAATTATAAAAACCAAGAAAATTCTGGGTAGTAAAGCTTTTTCATTTTTTTAACATTCAATTTCAATTGGGTTTTGTTTTCTTTTTGGTGAACTACATTTTGCAACTGGGAAAAGCTTTTCATTTTCTATTGGTTTTTTTTCTTTTCTATTGGCTATTTATATTTTGCACCCTCTATGTTTTGCGTGATTTTCAAAATGGGTCATCAGATTTTAATTTGTCACATTGCAACCTAATATTTTGAAATTGTATCAATTTACTCATTTTGTGTAATGAATTAACTAAATCTTCATTAATTTGATGACATGGTGAGCTTAAATCCGTAACTGGATTGACATGTAAGCCACATTTGCAACATATAACCTAAAAACTCATCAATTTATTGTATAATAGACATTTAATGTTACAAAAAGTGTAAATTGATATAGTTTCAAAACTTTAAGAAACAATTTGAAAAAATTAAAATTTAATGACCTAATTTAAATATCATCTTAAACTTTGAGAGCATAATATATAGTTGGGGCAAAAAACTTTAACAAAGAATCTCTCGGAGTCGAACCTATAGTTATATCCAACTTTCCTAAACATTAACCACGATTGAAATAAAAAAGAAATTGACATGACCAAATTTTAAATAAATTATTATAAAGAAAACTAGGTTATTGCTGATTTTATACATCCATCAAAACCAATTTTTCTTTATCATTGCCATACATTTAGATTCTAATTATAACCTCATCCTTCCGTTTCGGCTCAAACGAAAATGAGAGATTACAAGAGTAAAAAATAGAAATACAAGGTTGACAAAGCAAGGATCAGGATCCTTTCCTGATCTTTCTATGGGGATCCTCATAACCAATAAGTGTGGGCCGTTGGATGAAAATCCAACGGCTATAATTATTATAACTTTAAAAGGACCCTTCTGTTTGTAGCCGTTAGATTTTCATCCAACGTCCCACACTTGTTGGTCATGAAGATACCCATAGAAAGATCAGGAGAGGATCCTGATCCACAAAGCAAATGCACTTGTTAGTGACAATCTAAAAAAGTCATATAATATAAAAGTACTTCAATTAAAGTTCAAAAGACCAAAATACGGCTTAAACATGATTTTTCAATCTACGGGGCACAACGTCCGAAACAACACCAAAAGGAAATGGAAAAAGAACTGCAGCCCAAATGCAACCCAAGAAAGGAAGTCACGTAGGGAGGTGGGGGTGAATTATGTTTTTCAAGGTTGTCCAGAGGCCATCTCCAATATCCAAGATGGTCTTGAGATTACCCTCATTTTCTTTAAATTGATCTTGCTGCAGGAGCAATTTCTCGAGTTGTGCCTGGATCGGTTCAGTCTCTTTGATGGCGCCGTGAATTTCCGCAACTATTGCAGCCTGCCTGGCTTCAATCCAGAATTTCCTTTTTGCAAGGTCTTGAAATTCTCTCTCCTTGCTGTCACAAAACTGAACCTTAGGTTGAAGAAGCTGTTTCGTAGCTTTGACTTGTTCGCTCAAGTTTTTGGCCATATCATAGGCTTCGGAGTAGGCCCGATCAGATTGCTCTAGCTGCTCCAATATTGCCAAAATCATTAGTCCGATGTCGGTGGGAAAGCAATTAGAACCTACCAAAATCATAGTAATGTCCATTTCTGAAGTAGGAGTAGAAATGGAGGAGCTGGCCAGTGTATTTGATGCAGGCGTTCGGTCTAAAAGTTCATGGAGTCTTTCATGGGAGCTCATCACCACAACTTCTTCAATGGTTGCATGGGGTGGTGTAACCTTGGACTTTCCTTCTTCCGAGGCAGTGGAGTCTAGAAATAAGGCATATTTCTTAACAACTTTGAAGAAAACATAAAAACCACAGATGGACTTGGATCAAAATATATTTAAGATCACAAGTAAATATCCTTTAAAAAAAAAAAAAAAGAATTATTCAAATCGGATCTTACTCTTATTGCAATGAAGTGCAAAAAGTCAACATTTTTATCCAACATATCAAACTTACAATGATCGCGATCGCTCTCCGCCATGAAGTCAGCAGTGGGTTTCGATTAAATTCACTGTGATTGCAATTTGCACAAGCAGCTGCAGCTCTACAATTCACTTACTCATGGCCCACAATATATAATGCCGAGTAGCAAAGAAACCAAGCGCCGAGTAAAAAGGCAGAACCGCGTTTAAAAGTGAAAATGCCGAGTAGCAAACTCTGATTTTTCCGTTCAGACTTCTCACACAAAATAAGGCTCGAGTGCCGAGTAAAAGGCAGAACCCGACAAAAGACTTAAAAAAGGCTGAATGACGAGTAGTAGCCGACTCTGACTTTCTTGTTCAGACTTTCCATACAAAATAATTTGTCTGCATCAAATCAATTGAAGCACCCGACAAAAGAAAAAATCAATCGAAGCACCAAATTGTCTTCTTATTTGTTTGTCTTCAATATTCCGAATTTACCCTTGCTTCTGACAGAAAAAAATAAATAAAAATTAATATCCAGTTCCAAATTACTAATGTTTATTGACTGAAACCTTATTAGTTTTCAAATCTTATTCCAAGTTCCTAACATTAATGTAATAATGAAACTCTAATTCTTATATAAGCCTTAGAGTCTTTTGCTTATAAGGTCTACTGGAAAACCTCAAAGTAAACAATTGCAAAGCCGACTTGCTTCTAGAGCACAGAAGGTCATTACAACTACCTATAAATATTTATGTCATCATACTTGACACACCCCGACCGAGATCAGGGCATGCTGGCCGTCACGTGGAAGTGACGTAGCCAAGTGCACAGTGCGGAAGCTAATCGAAGTAATATAAAAGTACGAATAATTTAAAAAAACTAGCATACATAATGTGATAAGATAAGTGCTAGCGTAAGTGAGACGCCGAATTCAGAGCATAAAGCCTACAGCAGTCCAAAGGAAATGATACGACAATAGTGCACCCGAAGGTGACCCTACATCGGTGAGTGTCTGTCAGAAATGCCGGGACGCCCTCTGGGAAAACCACCGAACTTGCTAAGCAACTAGAACCTGGAGGGGCGCAAAACAAAAGCGTGAGTGGGCAAAAACAAAGCTCTTTGAAAACCATTTAGTAAAATACATTCTAACCCCTCGCCGTAAAACCTGTATACTTCCCAGAAATAAATATATATATACGTATGTATAAATATGCCAATCATGTTCAAGAATGTGCCATGTCAAAGCCTTATAATGATATGCAAGTGCTTAGGTATAAATCACATCAATAGCATAACATCTGGCAGCCGGAGTCCCCTAAGTGACCTGTACGGCTGAATCTAGAGCTCAAATCTCAATCTCAATCACTAAACCTGCCCACGAGTCGGAACCACCTATAGTGGTCTGTACGACAGGCCTAGGTGTAATACATATAAACGCTCTAGTGCTACAATCACGTGAAGGCTGTGCGAATAATCGCGGGTCACCTACGAGTCGGAACCACCTAAAGTGGTATGTACGACAGGACTGTGCACCTAACTTGGATCCAAGCTGAGCGTATGGTGCGGGAGGTGAACATCACGTGAAGGACTGTGCCCTACTCTGGGCGGGAGCACTAACACCGGGGGTGCAGGTTATGAGCTCTCTAAGCACCTCTAATCACTATTTATTGCAAAGGTTAAATAACGCTTACCTGGCACTTACCTGCGCCTCCACAGCACCAAATATAAATATGTATATGTATGACACTACTAATGTATATGACAATGCATAAACAATAAGGATATAGTGCATGGCATAAAACGAATAACCCTTTTTAACAATTTCTGGGAATATAAATGTATATAGGTATATACGGAAAACCAAAAACCCACTCACTGGTATGTGGAAGGGTCGTAGGCCCCCTGTCTCGCGTGAGCACGCTCGTCCTCGGGATACGTGTCACCTATATGCGAAAATACTATAAAAACGTAAATTTTAAAGCACATAACCTTCCGTTCAAAATAACTTCTCATACATTGCTCAAAATGGACAATTGAATATACCAACGTGCTCTACACAACCTCAGGATCACAACCAAATTTTTAGAAAAATTTTCCACCGCCGCACGTGCCTAGCACGCTGACGGCGTCAACTGACGCCGTTAGGAATATTCCGTCAGTTTTGACAGATTCCGTTAACGGCGTCAGGAATATTCCGTCAGAATTCTGACGGAATATTCCGTCACCTTCTCCGGCGAGACTCCGGTGCCGTCGCCGGAAAACCTGCAAATCGTGTTTTCTCGCTCGTTTTTCCACCATTTTTCATGATTTTTATACCAAAATGAAGCCCTAAACTAGTAGAACACGTCTATACAAGTTTTAAAGGCTAAAACCTACGAAAACTCACCTGTCCACAAACCTCCAAAACCGGTCAAACTCGAACCAGGTGATTCCTACGTCCAAACACTTCCAACGAAGCACTCCGAGGCTCCTTGGAACCTCACTAAGACACCTATGAGCTTCAAAAGTCCAAAAACATGCTAGATCAATGTTTGCATGAATAGTAACTAAACGGACTTCGTCGAATCGACGTGAAAACAGCTACAACCGTACCTGAAAATGGTACCACTGTGCTCCTCACAGCCTCAGGAGCTTGATGGTGTCCTTGGTTCCTTCGATCTGCAAGGATTTGGTGGGTTTTGGGTTTGTTCGTACACTCGAAGGAAGAAGAAGAAGGATAGAGGACTCGGGAGAGAGAGAGAGAGACAGGGAAAGGGACAGGGAAAGGTGGAGTGTGTGGCTATGTGTGTGTGTGATTCCAAACATGCCAACAAGGCACACAAACAACCAATAACGTAAACGAACTAGCTAGGGGGCAAAGTGGTCATTTCACATGTACGTTTCGATAGTTTCGGGACGGGATATCACAATACTTAATAAGGTTTTCAAGATTGTAGACTTTAAAAGTAATATAAGAGCAAAATCGGAAAACCACATTAATAGAATTAAAATAGATAAATTAAAAATATAGAAGGAGTGTGGATTGAGATTATAGGAGTGCCAATAACAGCTCCCTTAACTAAATCTTCATTAATTTGATGACATGGTGAGCATAAAATCCGTAACTAGATTGACATGTAAGCCACATTTGCAACATAAAACCTAAAAACTCATAAATTTAATGTATAATAGACATTTAATGTTACAAAAAGTGTAAATTGATATAGTTTCAAAACTTTAAGAAACAATTTGAAAAAATTAAAATTTAATGACCTAATTTAAATATCATCTTAAACTTTGAGAGCATATAATATAGTTAGGGCAAAAAACTTTAACAAAGAATCTCTCGGAGTCGAACCTATAGTTATATCTAACTTTCCTAAACATTAACATGACTGAAATATAAAAAAAAAATTGACATGACCAAATTTTAAATAAATTATTATAAAGAAAACTAGGTTATTGCTGATTTTATACATCCATCAAAACCAATTTTTCCATTATCGTTGTCATGCATTTAGATACTAATTAAAATATCATCCTTCCGTTTCGGATCAAACGAAGATGAGAAATTACAAGAGTAAAAAATAGAAATACAAGGTTGACAAAGCAAATGCACTCGTTATTAAGAATCTAAAAAAGTCATATAATACAAAAATACTTCAATTAAAGTTCAAAAGACCAAAATACGGCTTAAACATGATTTTTCAAGTGTACTGGGAACACCATCCAAAACAACACCAAAAAGAAATGGAAAAAGAACTGCAGCCCCAATGCAATCCAAGAAAGGAAGTCACGTGGGGAGGTGGGGGTGAATTATGTTCTTCAAGGTTGTCCAGAGGCCATCTCCAATATCCAAGATGGTCTTGAGATTACCCTCATTTTCTTTAAATTGATCTTGCTGCAGGAGCAATTTCTCGAGTTGTGCCTGGATCGGTTCAGTCTCTTTGATGGCGTCGTGAATTTCCGCAACTATTGCGGCCTGCCTGGTTTCAATCCAGAATTTCCTCTCTGCAAGGTCTTGAAATTCTCTCTCCTTGCTGTCACAAAACTGAACCTTAGGTTGAAGAAGCTGTTTCGTAGCTTTGACTTGTTCGCTCAAGTTTTTGGCCATATCATACTCAGGATAGGCTTCGGGGTAGGCTAGAACAGATTGCTCTAGCTGCTCCAATACTGCCAAAATCATTAGTCCGATGTCGGTGGGAAAGTAATCAGAACCAACCAAAATCGTAGTAATGTCCATTTCTGAAGTAGGAGTAGAAATGGAGGAGCTGGCCAGTGTATTGGATGCAGACGCTCGGTCTAAAAGTTCATGAAGTCTTTCATGGGAGCTCATCACCACAACTTCTTCAATGGTTCCAAGGGGTGTAGCCTTGGACTTTCCTTCTTCTGAGGCAGTGGAGTCTAGAAATAAGTCATCACGCTCTGCTAAGAAACTATTTATATAGAGTCTCCCTCTATGAAATATAGTGTATGAATGCAGAAAGCAAAATCAAATTCCTAAAATGCTAAAGAAAATTCGAGTTTAATCAGCCAATACAATATTTCTTAACAAATGCAACGCAGCAGAAAGTCGTACTTGGTGGCGTAATTGCAGGCTTCTCAGAAAGTCATACTCGATGGCATATTTCTTAACAACTTTGAAGAAAACATAAGAACCACAGATGAACTTGGATCAAAATATATTTACGAACACAAGTAAATATCCTTAAAAAAAGAAAAAGAATTATTCAACTCTTACAGGATCAACATACTCATATTGCGATGAATTGCAAAATGTCAACATTTTTATCCAACATATCAAACTTACGATGATCGCGATCGCTCTCCGCCATGAAGTCAGCAGCGGGATTCAATTAAATTCAGCGTGATTGGAATTTTTTGATGAACCAGTGTGATTGGAATTTTGCACAAGCAGCTACAGCTCTACAATTCACTGACTCATGGCCTGCAATATATAATGCAGTGCTTTGTTCTGAAGGTTTTGTGAAACAAAGAAACCGAGTTCCAAGTAAACGGGCGAGTTTGGAACTCCAAATTGATCAAGAAAGGTTTCGATTGCCGTTTAAAAGTGAAAATGCCGAGTAGCATACTCTGACTTTTCTGTTCACTTCTCACACAAAATAAGGCTCGAGTGCCGAGTAAAAGGCAGAACGCGCTTAAAAGGGATTGCCGAGTATTCAAGAGTGAATGCCGAGTAGTAGCCAACTCTGACTTTTTTGTTCAGACTTTTCATACAAAATAATTTGTCTGCATCAAATCAATCGGAGCACCCGACAAAAAAAAAAAAAAAATCAATCGAAGCACCAAATTGTCTTTTTATTTTGTTTGTCTTTAATATTCCGAATTTACCCTTGTTTCTGGAAGAAAAAAAAAAAGGAGAAATTAAGTTCACATTTTTTTTTTTGTTACCTCATTGATTAAAATCTTATTTATTTTCAATTTTTTATTAAGGTCCTTGGGTATTAATAACATCATTAATTATTTGAATAATAAAATATTTTTATTTTTAAAATATGTTCCTTTAGTGTTAAAAAATGTTACAATTAGTATATTTATATTTATGACTAAATTTTTTATCATATATTTTTATTTTTAGTTTGTACCTATTTTTAATTTGCAAATATTTTTAATTTGTACCAATTTTCTTTTAATTTTTAATTTGTACCCATATATTAGTTTCTTTTTGTGCCCATATTTTTTAAAGTTTTATTTGTGTTTGTACCCATGTGTACACCTTCACATGACATTGTATATTTAATCAATGATAGAAAAATTACATATTGTATATTTATGTTTTATGCCTAAACTTTGTATCATATATTTATATTTCTAGTTTGTACCCACTTTTAATTTGCAACATTTTTTTTTAATTTGTGGTATTTTATTTTTAGTTTTATTTTGTACCCATGTATTAAAATATTTTTTAAAAATTCATTTGTACTCATAATTTTTTTAATCTTTTATCTGTACTCTAATTTATTTATAATGTACCCATTCTTCTTTATTAATGTACCACTTTTGTTATATGTGAAATGTACCAATTTTAATTGTTTATTGTTTTGACATGTGGCGTCTAGTCATGATCTAAGTGGGCGCCATATCATCAATTAACAAAGGTTATGATGAAAAACTTAACGGATATATGAAAATGTCCTAAAATTATGATTTTAGGTACCAAACTAGGACGAATAAAACTTGATGTACCAAATGTTAAAAACCAAAAAATTTCAAGGTAGTAAACTGGGATTAGCCCTTTAAAAAATAACATGAGTTACCCACAACACCTCCATCCTCTTCCGCTAGATCACCACAGGCGATGAAGATCCGACAACTTCCGGCGTCAAATGAAGTCGTCGGTGTGGTCTAGGATTTAGAGACATCAACGGAATCTAGATATGTGAGCACTAGACAAAAGACTTGTCTATTCATATGTGTGGGTTTAGTAATTTTTCAATATTTATCAGAATCTAAATATTTTTAGGTTAAAGTGCTCATAAAATAAATTAGGATAGTCTACATAATAGTTTACATAAAATAAATTAGCCTTAATTCATTTTTTTATAATCTTGGCTAAAAATTTAACTTAGAAGGGTTGAAGGAAAAGAAGTTGTTTTTGGGTTAAAACATAAATTGTCTGACTAAGGGTGGGATAAAAAACCGAAAACCAAAAAAAAAAACCGAACCTAACCTAAATGGTCTGGTTCGATTTCGATTTTTGGGGATTAGAAATCGAACCGAACCGAAGTGTGTATAAAACAACGTCGTTTTACCCGTTAGATGCTCAAATGTCGTTTTTACCCTTAAGTTAATGTCGTTTTTTGGCTATGCTATTAACCCTAGGAGAGCTTTCCACCCCCACACCTCCCTCACTAAGTCACAGACTGACTCCCTCACCTGTGTCGTTCTTTGATATCTCAACCATCACTCCCTCATTTGTGTCGTTCTATGATATCTCAACCTCCACTCTCGTAGCTGGGAGCCCCGCAGCCTTGCAGCGCCTCGCAGCCCCACAGCCCCATCGTTGTGTACTCGCCCGCCTCGCCATCCCCATAGTCGACAACCATTACAAAGGTAAGTATTCTGGGTGGGTGTGTGTGTGTGTGTGTGTGAAATTACAGAAAGAAGGAAGTAAAAAAATTGGAAAGGAAAATCAAAATGTAAAAAGGAAAGTGAGAAATGCCAAACCTCTAATTCTAGCTCTCTGTTATCTGTTATTCCATTTTTTTTTTTTTTTGCTGCATATTAATCTGAACCATCCCTATCCTATAATTTGGGTTAGGGTTTATAAGTAATTAGCTACATAGGAAATTGTATTATTTCTCTTCCTTTTGACAAATGTAGATCGTAACTCTGAAACCCACATTTTGGAATTGAGTCAAGAGTTCCCAATATTTTTCCTTTTTGCTATTTAATTTCTTCTGTATAGGTTTCTGCTAGAACCCGAAAAATTTTCCTTTTTGCCATACCACAGCAATGCATGTTCCTTTTTTACATAGCAATGCATGTTCCTTTTCCATTCGTCACTGGATGGCCCTCTGGCAGTGAGTACTCCCAAGTCAATTTTGAATCCTTCTTTCAGATACATATATAAGTTTAAGAACTCAATTACTTTTCATTTCTATAGGTCCTTTATAGATTTTTGGATTACTTAAGCAAGTTTGACTGGGAGAACTATTGTATAAGTTTAAATGGACCAGTATGCAAATCATCCTTGCCTGACATAGTGGGTAAGAGATATTATTGTGTGCTTTTGATGTTGGATGGCTTATTTGTGTTTTCTCTCTCTCTCTCTCTCTCTCTCTCTCCCTCTCTGACTCACTCACTTATTAAACTGCAGCTAAGGCACCCGAAAACGGGAGAGATGATCTACTGCTGAGTGAAGAATTTATTCGAAATTGTGTGGAAATGTTCTCTGTTCCAGCAAAGGGGTATGAGACAAACTTGCGAGCTTTATCCCTGAAGCATCTTAATTTAATAGATCCACTAAAGCAGGACAACAACCTTGGGCGAAGTGTCAGCAGAAGTATGCATTCTCCCTAAAGTCTATTGTCCACTTTAATAATCGTTCGTTGTTTGCACAGATTGATTGTCGTGTTTTTGAAAATTTCAGCTGTTTAAGGTAAGCAATTTAAATTTTTTAATTATTGAGTTTTAAATTTTAGGCTCTTTTATAGTATATGTGATATATATATTTGCTTAGTCTTCGTATTCTGTGTTTCTTAATGCTTCTTTTTCTCATTTTTGGTTTTTGTCCAGTGTGGTTTGCGCTAATTTCCACCTTTTAAAATGAAACAATCAAATTATAAAGTTTACTTATATTCTACAAGTTGAATGCAAAAGTCATAACATCAAATGTTAACATAAAAGATGACTTCTGGCGAGAGACCAGTCCAAAAGGCCAAGGTATGCCATTGTGATACTCTAATATCAAATAGATAGTCATTTATCTCAATATACAACATGAGTTCCAACTCATTCTAAAATGTCTGTTTACATTTCTTTAAAAAAATAAAAAAATAAGTAAAATGTTATTAGTGAAAGGATGTGATTTAGAGTAGACATCATTTTCATTCTACCAATAGAGTTATCATTTCATGTCTACGTTTGCATTCTTTACAGTATAAATTTCTTCATTTCTTCATGTCTAAATTCATTGAATTTTTTTTCTCTTTTGCCTAGGCTGAGAGAACTTATTAGGATGAGAAAAAGAAAGGTACAGAGTTTTAAATATTTTTTTTTTTTTTTAAAGATTGTTGCCATTATAATCTATAATTTCTCTTTCATTCTATTTACAGATTTGTTTGAAAACTTGCGGAAGAAACAATGAGGCGGTTGAAGTGCAGAATGAAGGTTTACATTAATGCTGCTAGGCTAGATCACTCTGTGAAATTTTCAGTTCGAGGTGTGTGTATATATGTTTGTGACCCTTGTATACTTGGGACAGAATTTGAGTTTTAGCATTACAACTATTTGTCCATAGACACATGATGCAGATTGGGCATGAATGTCACATTTAAATTGGCATGAGTTAAGGTGCAAAATGAAAATTTACAGCCGCTATAGAATTTCTAGGATCTTACCAAAACAAAAAGGGTTGTCCATGCAATCTAAGAATGAAAATTTCAGCTGCGATAGAATTTCTTGGATCTTACCAAACAGTTTCTGGGATTTGAATCTTTTCCATTTTTAGCTTATCCTTGAATAAGGAATTTTGATGAATTTATATTTACCACTCAGTTTTTTGGTGTTTTCAGGCGATTGGAGCTGAATATGGATAAGTTTTTGAGACTTTTAGACTTTTTGGACCTCTCAAGATTGATGTGGTAAGGAGTTTATAGAGTTACACATATAGTAGTCGAATTGTTCTCTATGTTGTGTTGAATCTAATTTACTGGTAATACTTTCTGCTTGGTATTTACTATGCACGTGCATATTCATGTTATACTAAATGTAAACATACACAAGTTTTATTCTTTTCATTGTTAATCTACTGATGCTAAGGATAATTTGAGCTTTTACACTTTTCACATTTAACTTGCAGGATTAGTATCACAGTACACATTTCCACGATTCTGTGTTCCGTCTTTTTCCCTTTTGTGTAATTTTAGTCAATTGAACTACTCTTTTTAACTTAAGATTGAACTGAAGTGCTAAGAACTTAGTTAAATGAAAGTTTACTTTGGTTTGATGACATTAGGTATTCGGTGTTGAGTGCAAGATTATTAGGTCCACAATCATTACATGCATGATCTTTCATGTGTTTTTACCATAATATATCATAATCTAAAAACTCATCAATTTCAGGCCATCTCCAACATCTTCGTCACCTTTCAGGCTATTTTCCGACGATCTCCGTCAACCATTGGGTTTCCAAATAGGTATAATCTTGTTCTAAACTTTCCTTTCATTTTGATATATTATGTGTCAAATTTGGTTAAGAAATGATTGAGTTACATAGCTTTGAAAATTGCCCAACCTTCTGGCCAAGAACTCTGGGACATTTAACAGAGTTTGTAACGGAATGTCCAAAATAATGGATGGTGGACAATCTCAAGGACTATTTTGATTAAAAAAAACCTTATTTAAATTAGATATTATGTTGCATACTTGCATTACATCATGTTCCTTCTTTTTTTATTTGTATGTAGAAATGACAATTGGAAGTTCAAGGAAAGGTACTATGTTTCCTCATAGGCCGCCTAAGCGTTGAGCTTGAGGGCTTGAAGAGAAAAGTGTGTGTAAGACATGAAACCTTGAAGGACTTTGTTATGATTTTAGTTAAGTGGAATATTTCTTTAAAGTTTGGACTTTGTTATGTTTATTTTAGGTGTGGATATTTGAAATGTGATGTTTATTTTAAATTTGGACTTTTGAAGACTTAAACTTTGAATTTGTTTGTTTTAAACCTTTTCTTTTTTTTTTTGAAGTTTGGACTTTGGAAGACTTGATTGATGATTCTAGTTGAACTTTAAATGTTTATTTTCATTGTGTTGGAATGCTTATGTTATGATTGTGTTGGAGATGTTAAAATTTTAGATTTCAATGTTGGAAATTCGCAATGCTGATTTTATGATTATGTTGGAGATGTTAAAATTTCAATTTTCAAAAACATAAAAAATTTGAAAAAAAAAAAACGTAACCAAACAAGAAAAAACCAAACCAAAATTAAACCAAACAAAAAAAAAAAAAACCAAAAAAAAGGAACTGAATTGAACCAAATTGCAAAAGTTTTGGTTTTGGCAAAAAACCAAACCATTTTGAATCGAACCCAGCTCTAAGTTTGATCTAGAAAATTTAGGTTTTAATCTAAGAGTTGAAGATGGTCTTATCCTTTATTCTTCTTTTGGCTTTTTAAATTTTTTTTACTTTTTAAATTAAATTTTTTTTTTAATATCTACGTGGATTCAGATTGACTGCGGCGCCTAACCATTGTGTGACACACTCCGACCGAGGACAGGGTGTGCTGGCCGTCACGTGGAAGTGACGTAGCCATGTGCACAGTGCGGAAGCTAATGAAATAGTAACATAAAGGTACGAATAATTAAAAACTAGCATACATAAGTTAAAACTAGCATACATAAGTTAAAAGTAATAAGTGAGACGCTAAGTTCAGAGCCAAAACTCCTAAAGCAGTCCAAGAGGAGAAGATGCGACAATAATACACCCGAAGGTGGCCCTACGCTGGTGATCGTCTGTCAGAAATGCCGGGAAAGCCCTCTGGGAAACCACCAAACTTGCTAGCTAGCTAGAACCTGGAGGGGCGCAAAACAAAAGCGTGAGTGGGCAAAAACAAAGCTTTTCGAAAACCATTTCAAAAACAATATTTTAACCCCTCGCCGTAAAACCTGTATACTTCCCAGAAAATAAACATATGTACGTAGATATAAATATGCCAATCATGCTCAAATATATGCCATATCGGAACCTCAGAATGGAATGCAAGTGCTCAGGTATAAATTATATCAATAACATATAATCTGGCAGCCGGAGTCACCTAACGTGACCTGTACGGCTGGATCTAGAGCTCAGATCTCAATCACAATAACTAAACCTGCCTACGAGTCGGAACCACCTAAAGTGGTCTGTACGACAGGACTGTGCACCTAACTTGGATCCAAGCTGAGCGTGTGGTGCGGGAGGTGAACATCACGTGAAGGACTGTGCCCTACTCTGGGCGGGAGCACTAACACCGGGGGTGCAGATTATGAGCTCTTTAAGTATCACAGATCACTACTGAATATAAACGTGAATAACACTTACCTGGCACTTACCTGTGCGTCCACAGCACCAATTATGCATACGTATATATATACGACTAATAAAGCAACCAATGATGCATAAGTAACGATAATATAACACATGGCATATAACTAATATACATTTAAATCAATTTCTGGGAAAATATAAGTATATAGGTATATAGGGAAAACCAAAAGCCCACTCACTGATAAGTGGAAGGGTCGTAGGCCCCCTGCCTCGAGTGACCACGCTCGTCCTCGGGATACGTCTCACCTATATGCGAAAATACTACAAAAACGTTAATTTTAAAGCACATAACCTTCCTTCCGTAATAACTTCTCATACATTGCTCAAATTGGACAATTGAATATACCAACGTGCTCTACACAACCTCAGGATCACACCCAAATTTTTAGAAAAATTTTCCACCGCCGCACGCGCCCCCACGTGCCGGCCACGCGCAGGCACGTGCCTGGCACGCTGACGGCGTCAACTGACGCCGTTAGGAATATTCCGTTAGTTCTAACGGAATCCGTCAACGGCGTCAAGAATATTCTGTCAGACTTGACGGAATATTCCGTCTCCTTCCCCGGCGAGACTCCGGCGACATCGCCGGCGCCGGAAAACTGGAAAAATTTCAAACGTTGATATCTCGCTCGTTTTTCGTCCAAATTTCATGAAATTACTACCAAATTGAAGCTTAGACCTAGGAGAACACAAATATACTACTTTTAAGGGTTAAAAACCACAAGATCTCACCTATCCACACAATCCAAATCCGGCTAACTTCGAATACGGTGATCCCGACGTCCAATTCCTTCAAACGAACTACTCCGAGACTCCTTGGGACCTCACCAAGCTACCTACAAGCTTCATTTTCCCTAAAATGTGAGAAATTACGTTCGCATGAATAGTACCCAAATCGGACCTTCGTCGAATCGACGTGAAAACGTTGATATTCTTACCTGAAAATGGCACGGTTGGGTTCCCACGAGCCTCACGAGCTTAAATATAGGTTTAGTTTCTTCGATCTGTGGGTGATTAGTGTGCTTGTGTGTGTGTCCGTACGTTTATGGTGAAAAGGGAAGGGGAATGGGGCTCGGGGAATCACAGGGAGAGGGACAGGGACAGGTGGGAAGTGTGGGAGTGTGTGTGTGGCTCCACACATGCCAACAAAGCTAACAATGACAATTAAACGTAAAGAAATCAAACTAGGGGCAATTTCGTCTTTTCACACATACGCTAAAATGTTTTTGGGACGGGCTGTCACATTGTGCACTTTGGGGGTTACGTTACAAGTTAAAGAAAACTTAACGAATGTATGAAAGTGTTCTAGAATTATCACTTTAGATACCTAACTGGGATTAAAAAACTTGATGTATGAAATTATAAAAACCAAGAAAATTTTGGGTTGTAAAGCTTTTTCATTTTTTTAACATTCATTTTCAATTGGGTTTTGTTTTCTTTTTGGTGAACTACATTTTGCATCTGGGAAAAGCTTTTCATTTTCTATTGGCTATTTATATTTTGCACCCTCTATGTTTTGCGTGATTTTCAAAATGGGTCATCAGATTTTAATTTATTACATTGCACCATAATATTTTGAAATGGTATCAATTTACACATTTTGTGTAATGAATTAACTAAATCTTCATTAATTTGATGATATGGTGAGCATAAAATCCGTAACTAGATTAACATGTAAGCCACATTTGCAACATAAAACCTAAAAACTCATCAATTTATTGTATAATAGACATTTAATGTTACAAAAAGTGTAAATTGATATAGTTTCAAAACTTTAAGAAACAATTTGAAAAAATTAAAATTTAATGACCTAATTTAAATACCATCTTAAACTTTGAGAGCATAATATATAGTTAGGGCAAAAAAATAAAAATAAAAATTAGTATCTGGTTTCTAATTACTAATGTTCATTAACTGAAACCTCAATAGTTTTCAGATTATGATCCAAATCCCTAGCATTAATGTAATAATGAATTTACATATCGGTTACATAATTTTTTAAAATAAAAATTAATAATAGATTTATAATTTTAATACACAAACCTTTATTAAACTCCTAACTAATTTTCAATTCCAAAACATTCCAAAATAAATAAAAAATTAGAATAAGTTTGTACCCATAAGCCGTCGAGAAAGGTACCATTCTCTTCGTGCCATCGAGAAGTATGAATTTCGCTTTGGAATCACTCGATTTTGTTGAGTATTGAAAAAGTTATGAACGTTTAAAGTTTACCCAGTTTCTAACAAGTTTTCCAATTTTTCCACGGACCAATCATCTTTCAAGCTATTTTCTGGCCATCTTTGGCAACCCTTGGGCTTTCAAATAGGTATAATCTTGTTCTACACTTTCCTATCTTCATTTTGATATATTATGGGTCGAATTTGTTAAGATACACCACCAAAAAGAAAAGGAAAAGAAAAAAAATCTTCATTTTGATATATTATGGATCGAATTTGTTAAGATACACCACCAAAAAGAAAAGGAAAATAAAAAAAAAACTGCAGCCCAAATGCAACCCAAAGAAGGAAGTCACAGACCAAGGTTGTTGAAAATTAATTTCTTCAAGATTGTCCAGTAGCCAGCTCCAATAACCAAGCTGGTCTTGAGTTTAGCCTCATTTTGTTTAAATTGATCTCGCTGTGGGAGCAATTGATTGAGTTCTGCCTGGTTCCGTTCAGTCTCTTTGACGGCGCCACCAACTTCAGCACATATTACGGCCTGCTTGGCTACAATCTACTTTCTCTCATTCTCTAGTCTTTGAAGGTCTCTCCTCTTGCTATCACAAAACTGAACCTTAGGTTGAAGACGCTTTATCATATCTTCGACTTGGGCATTTAATTTTTTGCCCTTATCATACTCGGAATAGTCTCGAACAAGTTGCTCTAGCTGCTCCAATAATGGCAAAATGCATGTTTTGCTGTCAGAGGGAAACCAACTAGAAACTACGAGTCCCTTGATGTGTGAAATCATGTCAGTTTGTTTAACATTGCAAGCCATAGTAGCAAAGTCCATTTCTAGAAAAGTTCTGATTGTTTCTATGGCTTGCGAGTCTGTGGCAGGAGTAGAAATGGAGGAGCTGGCCAGTGTATTGGGTGCAAACCCTCGGCCTAAAAGTTCAAGGAGGCTTTTATAGGAGTCCCAAACTGCAACTTCTGAAAACTCATGACTCTACAATAGAAAGACGTTGGAGAAAACTATTAAGGCCTCGTTAAGCTAGTGTCAACGACTGGAATGGAATAGATATATACAATGTATGTCAAACGAAGACATGGATGCCAACTTCCAAATTATGTCCAAGTTGAAGCTAGAAGATAGTTTAGTTTTGAAGTAAACTTATCCCTCCAAATTCTATTATTTTCTAATCCATGTTTTACCTTCAAATTTGACAAGACCTAAGGGACGTCGAATTAAAGAAAGTTGTGTACGTACCTTTCCTGACCCAAAATCATTTTGAACGACAGCCTTACTTTTGCCATTTTCTGGCTCAATAGAGGTAGGCTCGAGTTCCTGCTCTTGATTCTATGTTCAAACAGATTTGTTAACAAAAAGGTTCAAATAAAGATGGATCAAAAGATTTTTTAAAAAAAAAAAAAAAACATACGCGCACACACTACAAATCAAGGATGAAATAGTGTTTACCTCAAAATCTTGGTTGGCATCTGAGGTTGGTCTTGATTGCAGCACGGTTGGAGTGCTAGACTCAGGAGCAGCAGAAGTAGCAATCGACTTTTGAGCCACCAAAACAAAATATTGTCAGAAGTTTAGAAATGAAGGAAGACAATAGTAAGAGAAGGAATTTGTGTCGCATTCTGTAACGAGAAACAAGGAAGTTAGTTTTGGAACATGAAATAATTGGGGGTTTCATCCACGAGTGACTTTAGATGGCTGAGTCTACCTTCTGGCCACAAGTGACTTTGAGTCGCTTCCGCGATTGGTTTGTATCGTTTCCCTCTTCCTCTTCATCTACTCCTTCTATGGTTGCAAGGGGTGTGGCCTTGGAGTTAGTGGAATCTAGAAATAAGTCATCACCCTCAGCTAAGAAACTATTTAGAGACTGCCTTTAGGAATTAAGTGTATGAATGAGAAAAAATCAACGCAGTTTTTGTAATGTTGCAACTTGAGAATTTACCGCATTGCCTTTTTCCAAGAGATGAATGACTTGGCTGCACCGCAGCACTCGAGCCGGCTCTCGAGTTGGTAGACAATTACTGAACGCCACGTGCTGGCCTACTTCAATATTAAAAAATTAAAAAAAAAACACAAACAATTGTACCCATCTTCTCCCCCGCACCTTCTCCATCCCTTCTCTCTTCCGCAACCCACACCCCTTCCCCCACTTCTCTCTTCTGCACTTGCACCACCCTCCTTTCTCTCCTCTACAACCTATACCCACCCTCCTCACACACCCAACCCAACAAAATCCCACCCAAAAGAATTCCAATTCAAAAACCCATCCAATTTCTGAAATTTATCAAAAACCCAGTTACTCAAAAAAATTCCAAATTTGTTAGACAGATTGAGATGGGAAAGCTGCACCCCTACCTCGTCGCCATGGTCTAGAAGCTTTGCATATGACCTTATAGGTTACCAGCCTTCCCCAACCCATAAATTTAACCTAGACGGAGTCCGATCTCTCCTCTCTCTCTAAGGCCATCTCCAACCGATGGCTTAGCCCTCTGGCCCTCTAAGATATTAACATTTTACTGAACAGTACAGGGCCATATTTGCCTCTGTCTCCAATCGAGGACCAAAGGGCCAAAGGTCTCATTTTAGCCCTGTCACAAAAAACTGTCTCCAACCGAGGGCCATAGGGCCAAACATAATTTATTATTTAAATTTAAAAACTACAACAACTTAAGTTTAAAAACAACAACTTAAATTTAAAAACTACAACTTATATTTAAAAACTACAACTAAAATTTAAAAACGACAAATTAAATTTAAAAACGACAAATTAAATTTAAAAACTACAAATTAAATTCGAAAACAACATTAACTTAAATTTAAAAACTACAACAACTTAAATTTAATATCCATAATCAACATCATCTTCATCATCCGCCATCGTAGGAGTATAGTCAGAGGTAAACAACTGCCGTCGGCTCATAATTTCTTTTTTTTTCCCTATCAAAATAGGCCTTACTCATTGGAGTGTAATTCGAAGTGTTCCTTTCCATATTCTTATCATCCATCTCTTCTTGTATTTGTTTGGCCCATTCTTCATTCCTACACTTCCTTTCTTCCACCTCAAGGGCATTTGGCTCCGCCAATAATCTCAATGAGGCCGCCACTTCATGTTGAGCAGCGTAATCATCATTTGCCTTGCCCTTTTCCTTCAACCTTCGAGCTTTGTTTCGTCCCATAGCCCTAGGTAAGGAACCTTCACCCGAAGACAGATTTTCTACCCTTGTTTGTTGAATGGTTGGAGATCCATCTTCATCCATATCTGCAGCTAAGGATGTAGTTCCAAACACCGGTGTATGAGCTCTCTGTGGTGGATCTTCAAATAACACCCACCCCTTACAAATTTCCCAACAACTGTGAAACTGAAAAGGCTTCGAGCTGCTCTCCATATACAATTCCTTTGCTTGGCGTACCTAGAAAAAAATTAAAGGAAATTAATTTATGAAATTAAATGTAATATAATTAAATATTTAAAATAAATTGTAAAAACACTTACTTCGTCGTAGTAATTAGCACCACTTTCATGTCTACTTGCGGCTGCTAACAATGCTTGATGCCATTTGTTCAAACTTGGCTGAATATATTTCTTCCATCTTGAAGAACAACTCTCGTGGTTTCGAATATTCACTGGAGTGGTGCCTTCATAGAACTCTAAGTATTTTTTGGACACATGAGTCCAAACACCGTCATTTGTTTGACAATTCCCTCTCACACTATCTTCCAACACCCATCTAGAAGCCTTGCAAAGAGTTTCATCTTCTTTTCGGGTCCAAGCCTTACCTTTCATTGCAGACGAGGCCATTTCAAAATTATTAAAAAAATTGAAGGATAGAATTTTGAAAGAGGAAGTAAAATATGAGAATTGAAATGGTGTAGGAATGGTGAAAATTTTGTGAGGAATGGTTTAGGTATTTATAGAAAAAAAAAAGGCCCAAAAAACCTAAACAAAAAAAAAAAAAAAAATTTGAATCCAACGGTAACTGGCGCTAGCTAGCAACGGCTAGCTGACATCAGCTAGCCATTGGATTCAAAATTCTTTTTAAGAATTCCTATCGGTTATAACCGACAGGAAAACTGATTTTTCTGGCCAGCCCCGGGCTGGTTGGCTGGCTGCACCTCCAGCCCTGTTCGATTTCGTGGGGCCCTCCCAAATTCCACAGCCCTCTGGCCTAGCCCTCTGTTGGAGACGATTTTCGGGCTATTTTTGGCCCTCTGGACCCTTCAGTTGGAGATGGCCTAACTTCTCCATTCTTCATCCCTCTCTGCTTAGTACTTCAATTTCTGGCACGAAAACCTTCCTGTTTCTGGATTAGTTCAAATTGATTTGCTTTTGGTTTCATATTTCAATTCAAATTCTTCGATTAATAACCCATAAAAGATTCTTTGATTCATATTCCTGGCATGAGGTAGGAATGCTCAAGAATCAGTTAGGATTTGGGAATTTATCCAAATTAGGGATTTGGGTCAACTGGGTGGCATATGGCTCCAATCCTTTGCTCCTCAATTCTTCTACCTAAAACCCATTTGAAAATCGAATTCAAGGAAGCAAATTTCAAACCCATAATTTGACTTCCTTCATGTCCCAACACTCTGCCATTGAAGTTTCAGAATTTCAGTCAAAGATTTATTGGAAATAACTTACCTTTTTCAAACAAATGGCTCGAACAACGTCTATATTAGAGGTGGAGGAAGATGTGGATGATCGCCGGTTGCGGTCGCTGGCTCTGGCAGCGTTGGCGGGAGTGGTGGAGATGGAGGTAGAAGAGCAATAACAGAGGATAACTCTAGAATACGAAGAAGAATGAGAAAAGGGTTGTTTGAGAGTCATCGTGGTGGTGGAAGAAGCAACGTGGAAAAGGTGATTCAATGGTTGCGAGGATACAAGGGAAGGTGGTGCAAATGTAGAAGAGAGAAGGGAGGGAAGGGGTGCAGGTTGCAAAAGAGAGAAGGGAGGGAGAGGGTGCAGGGAAGAAGATGGGTACGGTTATTTATATACATATTTTTTCTGTGTTTTTGTTTTTGTTTTTTTTTTAATTTTTTAATATTGAAGTAGGCCCATATTGACATGTGGCGTGCATTAATTGTCCACGTAGGTGCCAGGTTATCAGTTAACAGAAGTTCTAACGGAAAGCTTAACAGATGTATGAGACTGTCCCAAAATTAACACTTTAGGTATGATTCTGGGACGAAAAAAACTTCATGTACTATATGTTAAAAACCACAAAACTTGAGGGCAGTAAACTAAGATTAACCCTTTATTTTATGGGAAGTTTCAATAAAAATGACTTAAATTATTAATTTTGATAGGGTGCAGGATAAGGATAAGGAGGAGGAGGTTGGGGGTTTAGGTTTAGGTTGGATTGCAAGAGAAGGAGGAGGAAGAGGAGGGTGGGGGTTAGGAGAGGAATGGTGAAGGTGGTGGTTATGGAGAGAAAAGGGGGAGAGGAAATGAGGAGTCAAAGAGAGAAGAGGAGCAGAGGTTTAGTGTTTTTAATAATTAAAAATTTTATTTTTAATTTTTTCATGTTTCGACATGTGGTATCCAGTCATGATCTAAGTGGGCACCATGTTATCAGTTAATAGAGGTTCTAACGGAAAACTTAACGGATGTATGAAAATGTCCCAAAATTATGACTTTGGGCCATCTTCAACCGAAGGCTGGCCAGAGAGCTCGTTTTAGCCCACTGGCCCTCCAAGATATTAATATTTTAATGAACAGTACATGGTCATATTTGCCTCCATCTCCAACCGAGGGCCAAAGGGCTCGTTTTAGCCCTGTGACAAAAAGCCGTCTGCAACCGAGGGCCAAAAATAATTTATTATTTAAATTTAAAATCTACAACAACTTAAATTTAAAAACTACATCTTATATTTAAAAACTACAACTTAAATTTAAAAACGATAACTTAAATTTAAAAACTACAAATTAAATTTAAAACTACAAATTAAATTTAAAAACAACATTAACTTAAATTTAAAAACTACAACAACTTAAATTTAATATCCGTAATCAACATCATCTTCATCATCCGCCATTGAAGGATAGCTTTTTGAAAGAGGAAAGAAAATATGAGAATTGAAATGATGTAGGAATGGTGAAAATTTTGTGAGGAATGGTGAATGAATGGTTTAGGTATTTATAGGAAAAAAAAAATTAGAATTTTTAAGAATTAAAAAAAAAAAATTGGCACAAAAACCAAAAAAAAAAAAAAAATTGAATCCAACGGTAACTGGCTTTAGCTGGCCATTGAATTCAAATTTTTTTTTTAAGCAATCCTGTCGATTATTACCTACAAGATTGCTCTATTTTCTAGCCAGCCCTTTGGCCCTTTCAGATTCTGTGGGCCCACGAGCCCTTTGGCCTAGCCCTCGGTTGAAGACAGTTTTCGGGCTATTTTCAACCCTCTGGCCCTCTGGACCATTCAGTTGGAGATGGCCTTAGATACCAAACTAAGATGAAAAGAACTTGATGTACCAAATGTTAAAAACCAAGAAACTTCAAAGGAGTAAATTGAGATTAACCCTTTAAAAATAACGTGAGTTAACCACAACACCTTCGTCCTCTTCCGCTAGATCACTGCAAGCGATGAAAATCCGACAACTTCCGGCATCAAATGAAGTCGCCGATGTGGTCTAGGATTTGGGGACATCAACATAATCTAATATATGTGAGCACTAGAC